GCAGCACACCCCCCCACTCTTCAAAGATCTAAACTTACTCCCAGTTCAGTACATCCACACTTACTACTGTGCAATCTATATCTACAGGGCCTTAAACTCTAATATCAACCTTGACCTAAAACGCTTTCTTGATAGTTGTGACAGAACCCACAGGCATAACACCAGACACAAAATCTCTACGACATTCCCCGTGTCCGACTAAACCTTTACAAAAATTCAATGTATGTCAAAGGCCCTAAAATCTGGAATACCCTACCTGAGAACTCTAGAACTGCAGACACATTCATCACCTTCAAAACTACCATTAGAAAACATCTTATCTCCCTGATACACCCCGTCAACTAACTACACAAATACCACCTGGTGGTTCACACTTACACTCGCTCACTCATTTGACCATAAACAGAAATATTAATCTCAGTCTTAAAATAATGAATCCTGTGATACTCCAATACTGAAACTATTAACTGTGCCAAAACAAAAGCATTCACATTGCTAAACTCATAAACTAGTATTTAGTCACTTAGCCATAATACCAACTTACCTCATAATTTGTAATATTTTACATTTAAGAATAAAACTAAGTATGCCCGAAATGCCTAGCCATGCTAAGCGTTCTAGTGGTACACTCTGTAATCACAATTTTACTACATGTAAACCAAACAATAACCAAATTTCTGTAAACTCAGCATTGTAATCCTTATAGAGAATAAACTTTGAATTTGAATTTGAATTTGAATCCATTCTGTCATTTTTCTAGCAGAGGCAATTGATACAATGTTATGGTCTTAGAAGGTGAGATCTTCCGACATGATCACTCCCAGGTTTTTGACATTAGTTTTTTGCTCTATTGTATGGTTGGAATATGTTTTATGCTCCGATGAAATTTCAATTTCCTCACGTTTACCATATCGGAGTAGTTGAAATTTCTCATCATTGAACGTCACATTGTTTTCTGCAGCCCATTTGTGTAGCAGAACTTTCACTAAGAAAACAATTCAATCCCATTGGGTGTGGCAACAGTCATTATATGACATGTGGGATGGTCAGGTAAATTATTCCAGTTCTATTTGTTAAGATATTAAAAATAGTTTTAAAGGAGAAAATAAAAAAGTGAGGAGGTTCTGGGTTTGACAAATGCTCAGGAGGTGAAGGAAACAAAATGAAGGATGGATCATGTTAGATCATGATTAATTATATTGATAAGGAGTGCCAAACCTGAAGAGGTCATACAGTGCCTGATGCACTTGTTTAGCTGAAGAAGCAATTTTTTTAGGGTTATCCTAGGTAATCTACACATATGCTGCTATGCATGATAATTTATGTAATTGTATTTATGTGTATCTGTTACTGAATAAACTTACTTACCAATGGGCTTCTGCATGCACACCTAAATGTCACCTATTTCTGTACAAACATTGTATCATGCTGAAATAAAGATCATGATTATGATTACCTTTTTTGAGTGAGTTGCTCAACTCTACTACCATGTTAGGAGTTTACAATACCATTTGTTAAGTGGATTTCAAACATTTCTAAGAATAATGGTTTTCCTGGCACCCAGGTAAACTGCCATCATAATCTATATAATCTATTGTGAGGCTGTCAGATGCAAATACTCTCCTAGAATTGTATTATTATAATCATAACTAAGCGCTAAACCCATAAGTGTCATACAGCACTGTCCTAGAATTGTAGCATGTGACAATTCTTCCTGTCCTGAGGTGTCCCATGGCCTGGTAGGCAACACTCTTGCTTCACACACTTAGTGTCTGTGTTTCGATCCCCATTAGTGGTGGAAACATTAGGTGTGTTCCTTACACCTGTCCCCATTCACCTAGCAAGCAAGCAGGTATCTGGGTGTTAGTCGAATGGTGTGGGTCGCATCCTGGGGGACAAGATTGAGGATCACAATGGAAGACAGACAGTCCCTCGATGACACACTGACTTTCTTGGGTTATCCTGGGTGGCTAACCCTCTGGGGTTAAAAATATGAACAAATCTTATGTTACATTGTCCCCTCCTATAATATATCTCTCAAATATACTGCCACAAACTGATAGGGAAGAGTGTAGTGAAGAAAGTGAATGCCAGACTAAAATTCATCTACAGACAGGCACAGTGTCTAGCTACTGAGGCTCACAGGACACTACGTCTCGTTCTTATACATTGCTATATAGATTACGCTTGCTCTTCATGGTACTCTGCCTGATCAAAAAAACTGAAAGATAGACTACAAATCACTCAGAACAAAATGGTAAGATTCATGGTGGACCTGGGTCCAAGAGAACATGTAGGTCAGGATGAATTACAACAATTGGATATGCTGAATGTTGAAGACCGAATAAAACAAATGAAGTTAAATCATGTTTATAAAATTGTTCACAAACAGTGTCTAGAATATCTTGCTGCCAAGTTTGTCAAGGTTGGGAACCACAGCAATCATAGTACTAGGGAGAGAGAACACAACTTTGTAGTACCCACAGTATAATAATATTTTTATTTCTACAAGTACATGTACAGGGTATATAGGCCTAGTAGACATCAACGACATACTACTATGTATATAGAAAGTTGCTTGCTATGCAGAGCATTTCCCACAAATTAAGTCAATTTTGTCCCATGATGCAACCCACACCAGTCGACTAACACTCAGATACCTATTTTACTGATGTCAGGAAACACGCCCAGTGTTTCCACCCTTGCCGGGAATCAAACCCGGACACTCAGCGTATGAAGCGAGAGCTTTTGCCACCAGGCCAGGGGCCACAGTCGGTGGTCAGGCTTCAAACACCTTTTACTGTACAATAATAAATGAGTGGAATGGGCTGCCTGCACATGTCAAAGCCTATCATAGCATGAAGCTACGGAAAAGGAGGAGAATGATTTCTGGTGTAGGTAACACATGTACCTATTACTGTGATCTGATCCTCTCAATGTTAATGCACATAACTCAGTTTATCTTATTCCTAATATATCTCCTGTAATTGTTTAGGTAATAAGCTATAACAAGGATCTAACACACTACATAAGACCTTGTCTAATGCAAGGAAAACACTATACTTACACAGAGTTTCGAGGTTTATGTCCCTACTTGAAATTTTTCCCGAGATCCAAGAAGTTGTTGTGGTGTTGTTAAGGTCTACCAGATATTACGTCTTAGTGAATCCTGCTTCCCGGGAGGTTAGTTAGTTTAATATGTTTATTATGCACCCCATACCGGGAAAAATACCCAAATACGAACCGGAATAATAATAATAATCTTAATTTCTATATGTAAATGATATAAGTTATATTAAACTATAGCTGACATCACTGACATACTACTATATAGAAAGTCCTTTGTTGTGCAGAGCATTTCAAGCAAATTAGGTCAATTTTGTCCCTGGATGCGACGCACATCAGTCGACTAACACTCAGAGGCGGGGCCAGGAGCTGAGTCTCGACCCTTGCAACCACAATTAGGTGAGTACAATTAGGTGAGTACTCAGGTAAATTGGGACAGCACGAGTCTCAAGAAATGCCCCAATGTTTCTACCCATACCGGGGATCGAACCACGGATCTCAATGTATGAGCTGTGATAAAGGAAGCAAGATTTCATAGCGAAACAGAAACGTGACCAATAAATTCCCAATTAGGTCAGGTGGGCCAGTTTGCCTAAACCTCGGCACAGCTCCCGCTTCACACACGGAGGGCCCGGGCTCGATTCCCGGCGGGTGGAAACATATCGACACGTTTCCTTACACCTGTTGTCCTGTTCACCTAGCAGCAAATAGGTACCTGGGTGTTAGTCGACTGGTGTGGGTCGCATCCTGGGGGACAAGATTAAGGACCCCAATGGAAATAAGTTAGACAGTCCTCGATGATGCACTGACTTTCTTGGGTTATCAAGGGTGGCTAGCCCTCCGGGGTTAAAAATCCGAACGAAATCTTATCTTATCTTATCTTATTATTATTATCTGAATCAACAACAACAGGCTTCCCCGAAGCTAGGAGTTGATCGATGTATGGCACCTATATCAACTGCTCAGAAGGCTGAGGATAAGACAAACGTGCCAATATAAGAAAAAAAAAACAGGTAAAATTCATCGCCCATTCTCAAGACGTCTTCACTCTAGTAGGCTAATTTATTTATTGTGATTAGGTTTATAGGGCCATTACGACTCACGCCGTATCGATCCTTCTCAGTTTCTTGGGAAGACATTTTTTTTACCGGCCGTCTCCCACTAAGGCAGGGTGACCCGATAAAGAAGAAACACTTTCACCGTTATTCACACTATCACTGTCTTGCCAGTGATAGACCGATACTACAGTTCACATGCCCACCCAGACTGCAAATATCCCCCGCCCCTCCTTCAGAGTGCAGGCACTGTACCTTTCCCCTCCAGGACTCAAGTCTGGCTAGCCAGTTTCCCTTGGAAGAAATATTACATTCATGGGGGAGCGCTGAACCTGTAGGAGTTGTATAGTGCCTGGAAGAATGGGAGGTATTTAGGTTCGAGTCAGTGGGAGGGCAGGTCCAATTCCTTGGATCAAGGAACCTCCAGCAATGGGTGCGAATCAATAGTGGCAAAAGTGGTGCAGGAATTCTGAAAGGAACGAAAGTTCTTTTTGGGGAAAAGAAACGGGAAAAAAATCCCAGTAGACCAAGTAGAACCCAGAGCTAAACGCTAGCGGAGTCAGTAAGCATCTAAACATCCATACATAGGATATATAGATGAAAAACTGTGCTTCAGTTGAAAAAAAATGTATGTATTCAAGAGTGGACTACATATATCAATTATTATTATTATTATTATGCAGCACCTGGGAGTACAGGAGGCATTCAGGTTCTATCCAAGGAATGGTTGAACAGGTCCAATTCCTTGGATCAAGGGCCCTTCAGCAGCATCAAGGAACCTCCCTTGAGAGGTGAGTGCAAGTGACAGTATCATGGTGAAGATGGATGATGATAAGGGGTAGTAATTAATTTATCATTGTAAAAAGGATAAAGACAACATTATTCCCCTTCTTTTTTTTATTTTTGGTAAATTTACAAAAAACCTATAAATCTTTCTAGTCGAAAAATATTTTTTTTTTTTATCCCGACTGTGTGTTTGGAGTTTATCCAAACCACTCTATATGTTTTCTTCTTATTATACAAAATGTACACAGTTGTGAGTTCTTGTCTCCTTAGTACCACACTTCTCACTTATTAACAAATACTTTACACTTATTTGTATTTCGATGGCGCTTCGTATTCGAAGTATTCGGCAGTGTCTGTTTCTAACCTACTGATGTAGTGAAAAAGTCAAGATCAAGAACATGGGAAAATATGGAAAGAGTAGGAAAATAGAGAGTGGCGAGCGGTTATCCTAAAATAAAATTATAATGATAAAATCAACATGGATAGCGGGAATGAGCAATGGAGGAGGAGCCACAAGGAGGACACGATAATAGAGAAGAGTAGGATCATCTATATGCTTCTTGGGGGACACATCTGATGGATCAACATTCACTACGAGAATCATCACTCAACAGCAGCATCACTGTTACTCATCACTATATAGTTCACCACACCCTCCACTGCACCTCCAGCCTCCCTAGCTCGCCCGCTGGCTTTACACGGTGGTTTTTTTGCGTATAATGTGGGACGAGCGTGTTCTACGCATAGCACACGGGTCCCAGTTCGATCTTAAAGGATTGGTTGGGTTCTCCGACGTCCCGCACACCAATGTCCACGAAGGGTAGTCGTTGTGGCTTCTCTGTGCGGTACTCGATCTTGGTGGAGGCCCAAGTGGGAAGTCTCGCCTGGGGAAAGGACATACAGGAATTAGTTTAGTTGGAGAATGTGTGTGTGTGTGTGTGTGTGAACAGACTACTTCTGTTTGGGACAAAAAACAAATAAAATTTCAAAATTTTTGAGGGCCATTTTAAGTCGTCTCCATAGACCTTACAGCGACATGTATAATGTTTACTTGCCTGGTGACACGAAACAACAAACCAACCTCAGAACACAAAGTGACATAAACGGGGAAGTTATGAAATGGTAGTGCTACTGCTTGGTAGCATGTCTCATGATTAGTGGATGTAGGATTGAGGCCCAAAATTTACAATGAATGGACCAAGGGGGTTGAGCACTTCACACAAAGCATAATAATCTGGACTAGCAGTATACCTTCAAAAGATGTTTGTGGGCACGAAGTCTCCTTCCTGATCTTTCTGCCTAAGCAGCCTGGATGCTACCTGAATCATTTATGTTATTTGGGTGAGACTCATTGCAAACACACGTACTACACCAGATCTAGTACACTACCTACCTTACTCAGACCCAGTCAATATATTCCCAACCACAAAAGTACAAGAAGACTTACTTTACAGCCGTCTTCAATAACTCTGTATTTAAACTTCCTGTTTCCTCTGGCCTTAAGCTCTGTGTCTGAGACAGTCATGATCTGCAAGGCATTGCGTAGGTTTCTCCTGTGAGAGTCGAAGACAGCAACGGAGTTCTTGCAGTGGTAAGTGAGCTGTTGGGTCGCCTCTGATGACAGCAGCTGTAGGAACTGCATCTGGTTGCTGTCCGCCTTATATGTGAACTGTGAAAATCCGAACATACATGTAAAATCAAGGCAAATATATTCAACACAAGATCATACATAGTTCTTCCTATACAGCCACCACCACCACTACACACCCATCACCACCTCTACCACCATTACACAGCCACCACCACTACACAGCTACCACCACCTCTACCACCACTACACAGCTACCACCACCTCTACCACCACTACACAGCCACCATAACCTCTACCACCACTACACACCCACCACCACCACCTCTACCACCACTACACAGCTGCCACCACCTCTACCACCACTACACAGCCACCACCACCTCTACCACAACTACACAGCCACCACCACCTCTACCACCGCTACAAAGCCACTACCAATACCTCCTTCACAGTTATTCTTACATGGTCACTACCACCACAAATTTTGTACTCCCTAGCCTTGGTACCCTACAGTTAGTAACTAACAACCACTGAGCCTACCTTCACACCCTACTGAAAGGTAGTAACTAACAAGCACACAACACACCTCAAAACCTGGTTTGATGTCCTCTCCGAGCCAGACAATTCCTCGAGGCTGTCCACGCCATGTGAATTCCTGTGTCATATCAGGCTGGGGCAAGATGCACGTTGCCTTCTTCTCCATGTCGCAGTGAACCACAATGGCATCTTTCACATCACCCTCATTGGGATCCACCCAGTACTCTCCTGTAGAAGGGGAGAAATTCCATGCAAGTTTTATTTCACAGATTTTTTTTGGTAGAAATGTGTAGCATTAGCAAGTTTTCAACTTGAAAAGCTGGAAGTATCTGAATGTATAAAATATTTATAGTACAAAAGAATCTTTCCTTTTGCGCATACCACTAGGAAGTTCTGGGTGAGTGTAGGCCAGGTCCCGACATGTCTTTGCTGGGGAGTCCTTCGAGCCTTCTGGTCTGAGGAACTTCTTGAAGGATGTCTTAAGTTGCTCGTAGGCCTTGGTAATGAGGTCACGACGTTCGTCATCTGTAATTTCTTTGCCAAAGAGACGAGGAGGCAGTTCGGAATCGTCACCTTGGAGAGGATCTGGACCCTTGGCCTGGCCCTGCCCAAGCAAAGCTGCTAGCGCTGCTGCATCATAACCCATAGATTCGCCAGGTGGACCAGGAGGACCAGCTGGACCAGGTGAACCAGGTTGCCAGATTTACCTTCTTCTCCACTAGGACCACGAGGACCAGGAGGACCCATGATACCCTGTGGACCAATTCCTCCATCGCGACCAGGTGGACCCTTAGGACCAGGTTCACCAGAGGGTCCAGGTGGACCAGCAACACCGGGTACACCTTTGTCACCAGATGGACCCTGAGGACCAGGAAGACCTTGAAGACCAATGAGGCCTCTGTGTCCTTTGGCACCCTTTGGACCTACTGCTCCTGGTTCTCCAGTCTCTCCTTGTGAACCTGGTGCTCCAGGCTTTCCTCTGGGACCTGAAGAGCCCTCCACGCCCTGTGGACCAACCTCTCCACGATCTCCACGTTCTCCAGTCGGGCCAATGGGTCCAGCAGGACCAGGTGGGCCCTAATATAATAAATATCAATTAGTAATAATTGACACGACAGTAGTTTTAGATTAAGATGACACTATATATTACAAGAGAAACAATATGAAACTACTTACGGGTAAACCAGTGGGTCCAGAGCCTCCTTGAGGTCCTGGTGTACCTGGTGGGCCTTTGTCTCCTGTTCGTCCAGCAATACCAGGAGGTCCAGGTTTACCGTCGGCACCAGGAGCACCAGTGTCACCAGTGGGACCAATGGGACCAACAGCACCAGTTAATCCAGGGGGACCAATGGGACCTTCATCACCACGTTTTCCTTCTGAACCTGGTTCACCCTTTTAATAGGAAGTGTAATAAAAATTATACAACGAATAAGTTACAATTGCCAAAAATATTATATTTTATTGCCACTTTTGATCTTGTCATGAAAGTAAAGTGTGTTCATGTTACAAAATGCAGAAGTATTACTCACACGCTCGCCAGTTTTTCCTCGAAGGCCAGGGGGACCAGGTGGTCCAGGCAATCCAGGCAGGCCACGTTCTCCTGATGGTCCAACAGGGCCAGGTTGACCAATAGCTCCGGGACGACCCTCAGGACCAGCTTCACCCTTAGGTCCCTCGGCTCCAGGGGCACCAGGCTGACCAGTTGGTCCAGGTAGACCAGGTCGACCAGTATCACCAGGAGTTCCCTTGATTCCAGGGTTGCCACTAGGACCTGGAGGTCCTTGGTCACCTGGGGTTCCCTATGGGGATAAATAAGATGTAAAATTTCTTCTTTATTAAGTGGGGCTTGATTATTATTATTATTATTATAATAAAGAAGCGCTAAACCGTAAGAGTTATACAGTGATGGGGGCTTGATACAACCTTAACATCAGCAGCAATATATTAAGTACAGATAAACAATAGAGCACAAGTAAACACAACCACTACTCACAGGTGTTCCAGCATTGCCTGGTCGTCCAGGGGGACCCATCAAACCAGGCTCTCCTCGTTGTCCAAGTTCACCTCGCTGTCCCTTTGCACCCGTGAGTCCAGCTAGACCCTGAGGCCCAGGTTCTCCAGGTTGTCCTACCAAGCCAGGGTTACCCTGAGCACCCTTCTGGCCAGGTAGACCACGTTGTCCTTTTGGTCCTGCAGACCCAGGAGGTCCAATAGGTCCAGGGAAGCCTTGCAGACCCTGCTCGCCCTGTTGGCCTCGGTCTCCTGTCATTCCATTGGCACCAGGCTCACCAGGAGGACCTGGTGGACCTGGGTCTCCCTTCTCTGCAGGTTCTCCTGGAGGTCCAACTGGGCCCATGATACCTTGAGGGCCCTGGTCACCCTGACGACCCGGTGGGCCCTCAGGTCCAACTCTTCCCAAGGCTCCACGTTCACCTTTCTCTCCTGGAAGACCAGAAGGTCCTCGACCTCCTGGTAGACCCTGTATACAGCCACCAATGAAGATAAATTCTGAATGCATAATTACAGTTTATCATTGTTGTCAACTTTTGTAAAATAATATGTAAGATGACTATAATAATGAGTACTTACGACAAGACCAGAAGGACCAGAATGACCCTTTTGTCCAGGGGGACCAGAAGGCCCTGCAGGTCCATCAGGACCAGCCTGACCAGACTCTCCACGCTTGCCTGTCTCTCCAGGGGGGCCCTGAGCTCCTCGCTCTCCAGGGAAGCCTCGCTGACCACGGAGACCAGCACCACCAGGCAGACCCCGAGGACCCTGTAGTCCAGCCTCTCCGTCCTTGCCATTAGCACCAGAAATGCCAGGAGAACCAGGAAGACCCTGGAAGCCACGAGCACCTGGTGATCCAGGGGGCCCTCGCTCACCAGGGGCACCTGTTGGTCCTGCAATGCCTGGGGGCCCTTGAGCACCATCCTTTCCTGGATCACCACGGGGGCCAGTGGCACCAGTCTCCCCGGGATTACCGTCCTTACCAGCTTCACCCTGAAAAGGAGAGGCCACATTCTGCATGAGCTACATTCATAATTACGAATAATAATGAAAAAGTTGAGTATAACTGATGATGATAATCTATGTCTCATAAAAAGTTTCATTATTAACGAGGTGTCCCATAGCTTGATCACTAACACACTCAGCTCACACACTGAGGTCCAGGGTTCGAATCTCCTCTGGTATGGCTGGAAAATATTAAGGACGTGTTTCCATAAGACACCTGCTGTCCCTGTTCACCTATGAGTGTAAAATGGGTACCTGGGTGTTAGTCGCATCCTGGGACAAAAACTGACCTAATTTGCCCGAAATGCTCAGCATAACAAGCGGCTTTCTATATAGTAGTATGTCATTGATGTCAGTTAGGCCTGTATACCATGTACATGTACTTGTAGTAAATAAAGATATTATTATTGTTACATGTATAAGTATTTTATAAATTCATAGACTGATATTTATTGAATTTTATGGATACAAAATAAGCATGACATTTAGTATCGTAAAATCACTGAGTGATATGACTTATTATTTAATAAATATTTTTTTTACAATACACTATCACTTTATTTCAGTACACACATACTAATAAATTGTGTTAGAAGCAATGGAAATGAGACAGAAACGAGACAGAAATGAGACAGAAACGAGGCACTAAACTACAGACCAGTGTCTCTGACGTGTATAGTATGCAAAGTCATGGAGAAGATTATCAGGAGGAGAGTGGTAGAGCGCCTGGAACGAAACAAGATTATAAACAACAACCAGCACGGATTCATGGGAGGCAAATTCTGTGTCACAAACCTTCTGGAGTTTTAGGACAAGGTAACAGAAGTAAGAAAAAGAGGGAGAGGGGTGGGTTGATTGCATTTTCCTGGACTGCAGGAAGGCCTTTGACACAGTTCCTCACAGGAGATTAGTGCAGAAGCTGGAGGATCAGGCATGTTTTAACAGGAAGGGCACTGCAATGGATCAGAGAATACCTGACAGGGAGGCAACAACGGGTCATGGTATGTGATGAGGTATCACAGTGGGCTCCTGTGACGAGCGGGGGTCCAACAGGGGTCAGTCTAGAGCCAATGCTATTTTTGATATATGTGAATGACATGGTGGAAGGGATTTGACTCTGAAGTGTCCCTGTTTGCATATGATGTGAGGCTAATGAGAAGGATTTAAATCAGATGATTATCAGCCAGGACTACAAAGAGACCTGGATAGGTGGACACGTGGTCCAGCAACTGGCTTCTCAATTTCAACCCTGCCAAAGAGCAAAGTCATGAAGATTGAGGAAGGGCAAAGAAGACTGCAGACAGAGTATAGGCTAGGTGGACAAGGCTGCAAACCTCATCAAGGAGAAAGATCTTGGGGTGACCCTAACATCGAGTACATCTCTGGAGGCACACATCAACCAGATAACTGCTGCAGAATGTGGGCGCCTGGCAAACCTGAGAATAGTGTTCCGATACCTTAGTAAGGAATCGTTCAAGACATGTACATGTGTAGTCAGGCCCTTATGGAGTATGCAGCACCAGTTTGGAACCACACCTGGTCAGCACGTCAAGAAATTAGAGAAAGTACAAAGGTTTGCAACAAAGTAGTTCCAGAAACTCAGGCGGAATGTCCTACGAAGAAAGGTTGAGGAAATTGGACTGACAACACATGGAGGACAGGAGGTCAGGGGAGAATGATAACAACTACAAAATAATGTGTGGATAGACAAGGTGGACAGAGAAGGATGTTCCAAAGAGGGAACACAGAAACAAAAGGTCACCAATTGGAGAGTGAAGATCAGACGAATCACAGGGATGTTAAGGAAGTACTTCTTCAGTCACAGAGTCGTTAGGAAGTGAATAGCCTAGCAAAGTGATGTAGTGGAGGCAGGAACCATACATAGCTTTAAGACGAGGTATGACAAAGCTCAGGGAAGCAGAGAGAGAGAGGACCTAGTAGCGATCAGTGAAGAGGCGGGGCCAGGAGCTGAGTCTCGACCCCTGCAACCACAATTAGGTGAGCACAGGAGTATGCCATAGTCAAATATTGATTTTCGAAAGTATTGTTTTATACAAACATTTTAACTAGATCCCTGTAGCGAGGTACTGGATAACAATGCTAGGTACTAAGGTTTTTAAGATCACAAGATACTCTGGTGAATATCAAAGGTCAAAGTGAATTTGCCCTTACTTTGGAAAAAAAATTTTAAAAACTGCTTTTGGTACTGTTTTTTAAAATTAATGAATTTGAAACTTACAAAAGGTCCAATAGGGCCCGGGGGGCCCCAAATGGGCCCCCGGGCCCAAGCCCCCTAAAATCCCCTTGAGGTCCTTGTCCCCAGGTTTGCCGTCAGCGCGGGTTTGGACCACGGTCCCCAGGGCGCCCAGTTTTGCCAGAGGGGACCGAAAAAACCAGTGGGTCCTCGAAAGGGCCTTGACGGCCGGGCAGGCGGGGGGGGCCAGGGTCTCCACCAGGGCCCTTTTTTGGCCAACAGTTCTGTAGGGCCGGGGTTCACCATCTGACCTTGAGGTTAGAAATTCCCCCATATTATTATCATTTTTAAATAAAAATTATGGGGAAAGGGGACCAAGTCTGAAAGGGTCATATAGGCCGGGGGGGAATAAAAAGTGATAAGTATGATTGGGGCGTGGAAAGATGAGAGTAGCCCCATTTTTCTTGGATCAGAGGGACCTTTCCCAGCCCCTATGCACCTCAGCCCCCCTTTGAAGGAAAATTAAACCCCATATTAAAAAAAAAAAAATTCTGATTAAACTTGCAGGGGGAACTGCATGATAAATTTTAATCTTTTTAATTTTTTAAATTGTTTAAAAAAATAAAAATTTTTTTCCATATATTGAGGGCTCTCTTGCAGGGCGTCCCCACGTTAAGATCCACCTTTGGGGGGGAGGCCCATCAGCCCGGGAAGGCCACGGCCTCCTGTTGGTCCACGCTCCCCCTGGGGGCCCCAACTCCCCCAGGGGCCCTCTTTTAAAACCCTCTCTTGCCACTTTACCAGGGATCCGGGGGGCGCAGGGAGGCCTTTCGGGGACAGGTGTTCCACCTTCTCCCTTCATTCCCGGGTTCCCCCTTAAAACCCTCGCTCCCCACCCAAAACCCTGTAAAAAACAAAAAACTTTAAAATATTTCCCCTCTGTCCCCTTTCGTTTACTTAAATCGGCAAAAAACAATGTGATTGAGCAACCTGGGGAATGTTTGACAAAAAAAATTTACATGTACAACCCTCAAACAGGTCAAGCTTTTATTCCAAAATCCCTCCAGTCAAAGTCAGGGAGCTTGTGAACATTCCCCTTTGCAGGGAAAAATTCTAAAAAGGCTCTATTATTTTGTTTGGTCCTAAATGGGAAAAAAACCCCGACCCACCCCCGAAGTTACTTTAAAAAATTTTTAAAAAATTATTCCCTATGTTATGTTTTTAAATAACAACCTTTTGGTTTTTTGTATTAGGTTATTTACCCTTCACCCCTTTGTTACCAGGCAGGGCCAGGGCAAAGGGAAGACTGGGGGCCCCCGGGCCCCTGGGAAAACCTGGGGGTCCAGAATTTTCCCTGGAACCGGGGTGCACCTTCTCTCCGGGGAAGGCCCATTTTTTTTCCCGATAAACCCTTGCGGTCCTGTTTTCCGGGGAGCCCGGGTTTTCCCCAGTTCACCTGTGAATTTAAGATTTACAGGGGTTTTAAAGACCCAAAAAAAAGAGCGAAATCCAAAAAGGGTCAAAGAATATTGATCAAAAAGTTAGGGGCGGGAGTTGATTTTTTTATATGCCTACCTCGAGGGCCCTGGAGCCCTTTGTCCCCCTTTTTAGACCCCTGTACCCCTGGTACCCTTAGCTCCAGAAACCCGGGGGAAGCCGGGGGGGGACCAGACTTCCCGGGGGGCCCTGGAGGCCAGGGGGACCAGCGTTTGCCATCGTTACCTCTTAACCCGGGGGGGGCCCTGGGGGACCTTCCCTGCCCGTTCAAAAACGGTGGCCCAGCTAAAACCCTTGTACCATGCAAACAGCCTCTCAGTACACACCCAATATTTATTTAAAATTATTTTTAACTTTATGGATACCAAAAATGAAAATAAACACTTGTCAGTACTAATAAAAACTAAGGGGACAGAAAATTTAAAAAATATTAATTGGCGTGTATTTTCCATCCAGTTCTGGGACCCCAGAAGGGGAAAAGGAAATTTTTTAGCCCAATCAATCTTCGGAGTTTTCTGACTCTATGTGGGTTATTATTGAACACTATATCATTTCTAATTACTGTATTACAAAGTAATTTTGCTTATTTTTATAGTATTTAAAATTTTATTGCCTTTGGGAACATCCTTTCCCCGAAAAGATAATGGCATTTAGACTTTTTTGGGAAACATTTAAAAATTCAAAATACGTAAAAAAAAATAATTTTGTGATGCAGCCCTGAGCGTTTGTCAAATAATTGTAGATATTATGACATGTAAGAAGCCCAAAGGGCAAGTGCTGCTAGATAAAAAAATCACTCCCCTTTGGACCAAGGGGGCCGGGGGTGGACCCCCGGGCCCTGCTGCTCCCTTGTCACCCATCGCCCTGTTCTCCTTAGCTCCTTCTAGCCCCGAGAAACCCACGGTTTTTTCTTCACACCGGGAAAGGGACCAGGCATCCCGGGCAGACCACGGGGCCCCCAGGGGGGGTCCAGTGAGCCTGGTGGACCAGCAGAACCATCTCCCCATTCTCACCCTGAGAACGAAACCTTTTAATAACAACGCTTTGGGTTTAGAAAAGTATCTGCTTTTCTAAGAAAATCTACATTGTTTTAAATTGTTGGTAGAATTCCCGGGACAATATGTTAGTAAAAGGATTTAAGGGGCAATAATGTTTATTTTTATTATGGAAACGTTTCCCTCTCCGGAGAGCGAAAAGGGTTTGCCACAATAAAATGTAAACGTAGTTCCATTTGGTCCTTTTTCCCTTTAACATAATGAAATATTATTTACAAAATTTAACAAACCTTTCTAAAACTTTTAAAATAAAATTAATAATCAGTGCAAAAATTTTTAATACA